GCATTGATGAATAGCTATAAATTAAAACTATTTCATTTTGTATGTGGAACTTCCGACATATTCATAAAGTTGGTAACTACTTCGGTGAAAAATCCCATTGGTTGTTAGGCAGAGAACTCTTATTATTATTTTGATTGATAAAAAGTAGCAAAGTTGGAGTTCATATAATGCAACGTTTAAAAAATTTTTCAAATTTGTTTCAGTTGCAGCAGAAGTGTCGGTGGTCCTTTATCACAATCATCTGGTATTGTTCAGGTATATGCTATTCTTTCAATGTCGTTGGATTTCTTTTTTGTGATCCACCACTTCATTTAGATTTAAATGAAGAAATAGGTTATCGGAAATTCATTTTCTTTGTAGTGTATTCAACAGGAAAAAGATTGATGATTATTTTTCTGTCATGCTGTACTTTCCTACCGTATGTTCATTGAAAAAAACACGAGTGGAAGCTTACATCATATAATTCAGAATAATCTCTCAAGTTTTCTCTTTCACAATAAATCTCAAAAAAGGTTGAATTGATATAGTGAGCGCTTGCAGAACTTCTTCGCTCATATATAAACTAGCTTGCTCTCTAAATGCTTTATACAAGAAGTGTTCTGATTGTTTACTTCATCCTCTCTCCACTAGCAGTTCACACTTTCTAATTTATGATTCACCTTTCCCTTTTGATAAAGACCTCGTGCATAACGTTATTGGACCTATCATATTCCATCGTTCAAGCTTATTGCTCTTCATTTAACATAACTTTATTGGACTATGAAACCCTTCCGATTAAGCAAGTACACTGCTTTGTCATTTTTTTTTGATCTTCTAAAAAATAAATTATTATTCGCTGTTCTTTGTCCTCATACTCTTCTTCATAAAATGCAGTTTGATATATTTTTGAGGAATTAACTTTTGGTTAATTAAAGTCATGAATGTGATTACTGTTGTAATTTGCAGCAAAACTCGTTCACGAGCGATCCTTTGCAATTGGATTCGATGTTGGGAACACTGCAAAAAGATATGTCAAAGCATGGCATCAACACGATTCCTAAAGGCGATTGCGCTTCGTGTGGCAAAGCGATCGTTGGACAGGTTTTTTTTTGTTTTTCACATTTTTTAAAATATATTGTCTTCTTAAGCATATTGTACTTGAAGGTGCAATTTTATTTGTAATTTCAATACTTTTTAATTTTTAATTTCCATGCATTCTTGTTGATTTTTAGAGTACTCACTGTTACTTTTAATTAAAATCTTTATGATTAAACAGATTAGGATATGAAATTAAAATTATTATATCTATATATTTAGCAAGAATTTGAGCATAACGATGACAGTTATTTGGAAATGCTGTAAATTCTCGTTTCATAAACTCTTTGATGGAATTATCTGATATTTTTAATATTCTTTTCTAATCGAGATATGTGCTTCTGTCCGATAAAGTGTTCAGTACTAAGTACAGTTAAAGTACCAAAACTTCCCATGTTGTTTTGATTATATTTTGCTGTTGTAAGAAATGAAGTTAAATTTAATTCAGACTAATTTCAGAATTCTTCAAAATATGAGCAAAAGATCCATTTTCATTATAAATTAAAAGAAGATTGTCAAATCTCACTTTAAATTTATGAAGTTTTGAACTTTTGCTTGTTATTATTAGAACATCTAATAATGGAACGTGAATATTTAATCACAGGTAGTCATAGCGCTGGGCAAAATGTGGCATCCTGGACACTACGTCTGCTGCCAATGTGGTGAAGAACTTGGGCATCGGAATTTCTTCGAGCGAGGCGGTAAAGCATATTGTGAGAATGATTATCACGATATGTTCTCTCCTCGATGTGCGTATTGCAATGGGCCAATCAAAGATGTTGGTTGTCAGATCTTTTAACTGTGATATCAAATGATAACTACCTGCAACTAAGTCAACTAATCCTCTTTTTTGTAGCGATGCGTGACAGCACTTGGTAAAACATTTCACGCAGAACATTTTGTATGTGCAGAATGTGGCCGGCAGTTTGGTGAAGAAGGATTCCACGAAAAAGTAAGAATTTTTTGTGAAAAAAACTGCTTGCTTTTCACATCTATATCTAGTATCGATATTTAAAGTTTTGGATTGAATATATGCAATTAGAAAGATTTCACTAACCATTATCTTTCTTAATTTATAATCATATATCAAATACTTTACTGTGTTTTGGTTACCACATTATTCTTTAATTTGTCGTTGGTTATCTTGGTGTATATTAACGGCGATTTTGTTTTCATTTGCGAATAATGTGTATTGTGTTTCAAATTCTCAAGTTATGTTACTCTTGTTTCAGTCTTTCTTCAGAGATTTAAAAAGATTTTAAGTGTTCTGCAATGATTTTCACAAAAAAAGATCTGCAAAATCGTACCAATACCGAGACACTTTGTAGAACGGACAACCTTATTGCAAGACGGATTTCTTTCGAATGTTTGCGCCGAAATGCAATGGTTGTAAGAATCCGATCAAAATGCATTTCATAACAGCACTGGGCACACACTGGCATCCTGAATGCTTTATTTGTCAGGTAATCTTTGTAGAAACTTAAAATTAACAAGTTCTGGAGTGTGAAGGCTTTTGGAATTTTGCTTCTTTTGTTTTTGTTGTTTCTTATCATTTGTGAATAGTAAAGCTTTTGATTCAACAAAAATCATAGTGCGGTGTTATTTTTAAACATTTTCCTTCACTGAAATATCGTAGCTTTATCATCTTTTGATTAGGAAACGAAGATATCACTGCGATTATGCACATGTGGACAGTAGTAAATTCAAGTCCTTCATAGTAGAATTGTCATTCTAGGGGATTGAAATGTCATCCATCTTTGATTTCTTTTTCCTTTTTTTGTCCCTTAATGCTGCTATCGTTAGAACTCTAGTTAATGAATTCACGAAAATAGTGGAATATCAGAATTTCGAGTTGCAGTACCAGAAGAAGGAGCAGTAATCGAAAATACAGTATCACTGGGAATATTTAGAGAGTTTGTGAGCCTGAATCGTTCACGTTGAATTTCTAACTCAACTGAAGGGAAAGTAATCTATCTATTCCGTAGTAGTAGGAATATTGATGAGTGATTTTAGGAGTGTGGAAAGGCTTTCGAAACAGGATCATTTTATGAGCACGGTAATGTGCCACTGTGCGAAATGCACTATCACGAGAAGCGCGGTAGTTTGTGCGCTACCTGCCAAAAGCCTATTAATGGCCGATGTGTCTCCGCTGTAGGGCAGAAATTTCATCCAGAACATTTCTGCTGTTCCTACTGTCGTAAGCAACTAAACAAGGGAACATTCAAGGAAGTGGATCGAAAGCCATTCTGCCACAAATGCTATCAAACTACCCATCCTTAATTTTTTTTTGCATAGATATTCGGGATATTTTCCACGTCTTAGTTTTTGTGCGATTATGTCGCCATGCACACTTTACAGCCTGTTTGAAGCTGTCTACCATATTTATACTTCCAGCCAGCGACCATGTGAAATGGCATTCATGCTCTCCACATTTCTCACGACTCCTTATCTGGTGGTATCATCTCATCCCCTAAAATTCCTTCAAATAGTGCACCGAATAATATAGTTTTACTTTTATCTGTAGCATCCCCTTCCCCTATTACTGATTTTTTTTAATAATTAATGGTCTTTTGCAGTTAATGACTTTTTTTTGTGCTGTTTTCATATCACAGCTTGAATATGCATAACCTTTAATTTCTATGCATTCAGATTATTTTCATGCCTCTTGATGAATACTTATGCAACACTGCTTGACTCTTCCCAACTTTTAATATTATTCATTTTTGTCCAGAATGACATGTTTGAATTTCATAGCATCAAGTTTTTTTTAATGCTTCTAAAGCTGGAGATAATGAAAGAAATCGCCAAAAAAACTTTACGTGCTTCAATCTGCATAAAGTTTTTTTTATCGTTTTAACGTTATAAAATATGATGGAAAATGAGGAGAGGCACAAAGAATTACTGGACTTGATGGGAGTGAATGTTGCAGTGATTCATGATAGTGGTTCCTGTTGTGTCTTAATAATCAGGTTTAATTTTTTTTTATTCTCTTATTATTTAACTCAATGTCTTCAGCATGCCTGCATTGTTATTTAACTACATAATGATAAGAGTGCAGTCTGCATATTGTTTGTTCTGTCCATTTCAGTTGTAAAATTGCTTAGTTCATTTGTTGATTTTCAAATAACTCAGCTATTTGCTAGTGAGAAGTAATGTTAGCGTGAAATGAAAAAACTTAATATGAGTTTTTCGCCTTCTAGGGAAATGAATACTTTATAAGACGATGTCCGATGCACGTCATATATTCCGAGGAGGAAGAGAAATGATTCAGGTCTCGAATCACGCTACATCATGCATCCTTATGGATATCAGTTAGTTCAAGAACAGATATATAAATTGCTCGCATATGACACTGATTGGGGTTCCTTGCTGATCTTTTTGACATTTTTTTTCTTCATATATATATGTATATGCGTATATATTCTTTAACTTCAATAAAACATTCAAAAGTAGAGTTAAAACTAGCCCGCAACGTATGATGCAGTTAAAATGTACAAATTTTCCAATTTGATAAAATACTAGGGTATAAAGAATTTGCTTCCTTAGTTTGCCTAATCGCCTAATAATTGAGAAAGGGCTATACATATTGATACTAGCCTAATAATTGAGAAAAGGTTAATCTTAGGAAGACTTATTTTGACGTTTAACACCGAGATTAGTGAACTAGTTATGAGGTTTCAACTCAATATATTATTTGACTATCTTTTATGTATTTTAAATTGTACGGTTCCTGTATAAATAGTAAAGGAACAATTACATGTGTTGAGGGGTACTTTATTAAAATATGCTTTACCTGAGCAGAAATTAACGTAGGACCCGTTCAGTAACAGCAGAGAAAAAAGAACCATGTGAGGAGAACTTTCAAGTGACAATCAGTTAAACAAAGAATTTCTCCTTGAAGTTAACCAATTTATATCATCAGCTCTTCAACTGAAATAGTGTCCGATGAGGATCATTTGGTCAATTTTTGTGATGACGAACATAAATGGATGATTGGCAATGAATTTGATGTGTCCACCTTGCCACAGAACAGTTAACTCGTCGCTTATTATTTCATGAGTGCTGTTTATCGGGTACGAACCTTTCTCATTAATCTGCAGTAAGAGGAATAAATAGTTGCGTAAATATAAGATTTGCATCCAATCATTCATGCGATGAATGTAATTTAATGAAATTAACACCTCAAATTGTGTCTTTTGAATGAGCGTCGAGACATGCATTTTCTGAAGTGAAATAGCCGGGAAATCAGCTCGACTGGTAAATGCTTCCACTATTCCAAGATTTGCCAATGGCAAATTCAATTCAAAATGATTTTCTATCGAAAATCGAGGTATTTCAACCTTAAATAGTATTAACATAAGTTCCGGACGTTTTATCCGAAAAGAACACATTAATAATAATTTCAAAGCCATTTCAAGGTACAGTTTCTCTATGCTTGCATTAATTACTTGGATATTCTGATTCCAAAAGTCGATAATGCGATATGCAGTCGATATAAATGTGCTTGGCTTTCCCTTTATGGACACAGATTTTTCCTATTATCTATCTTGTAGGCCATCTCCTGAGCAAATTATGTTCAATTATCCGAAATAGTTTTTCACTTCTTGAAAATCCATTTGGGCCATAGCTATATTGTGGAAAGTCCAAATCGAACTTTGCATAAATAATAAATATGCTATAAATATATTAAAGCAAATGCCCAATATCAATTTTAATTTGTAAAAATTAAATGTCTACCTCAACATCCACTATTTTACATCTTGCAATCAAAAACAGGAGACGACGCCCAGTCAATTCGCGCACAACACTTCTTAACGCAAATTTCTCTCGTGGTAAAAATATGTAAAGGAAAAGGTTTGAATCAACTTGATAAGGAAGACCGAGAACCTGTACATCAGCATCTTCGGTGTATTTAAATTTATCAAATGCCCACATGGACATCATTTCCACCTACAACAGTTACATGAGTAAAATCTTAGACCAAGAGTAATGCTTTATTTCTGACCTTTATTTTTTGACTTTCAGTTATACTCATCTTTACAAGTCTAAATTTATTGGTACTTTCAAAAAAGATCGACGCAATTCATCTTTAACTTTACCTTTTATCTCGAGTTGTTATTAGAAACAATGAGTGAATGGTCCGGTAGGGAAATAAGTACCTACCTGAGTGACAGTGTGTTCATTTACATAGAAATCCTTCGCAGTTGTCCTTCTCTCATCAAATGGATAATGCCAAGCAGCGTTCAAATAAAAGCTATCGACGAGCATGAAATGCCAATCTGCATTATAAACATTTCTTGTAAAGATTTTAAACTCTGATTTCGTTTGGTTTGCAATCCACTGATTGATAAACTGAAAAGAGCTGATAAATCAGTTGAGCTATCTACATGTAAAGGTCACCTAAAATTGTCAAGGGATAAATAATTGTAAAAAACACGTAACGTCCGCAATTATTACCTTGGTATTATCTGATAATCTCATCTGCTATACAGCTTTATATTCTAAACATCTCATCGTCCATTTCACAAAGAGAAAATTTTCTTTTTCACAATTAGACTTACAAAAACCAACTGTGGCAGTGGCCGATCTGTTTTTGCAATCAAATTGCAGTACATCAGCCATAAAATCCCGTGCGATGTCTATCATAGCATTGCTTAAAGTACCACGACCACATAGATGTAAAACTACCAAGAGACCGGGTGCAACTATCGTATCATTATTTCCTGGTAGTAATCTGTTGGCTAGTAATGAATAATACTTCTGTACCGTATTATAACTGAAACCTGAAAAACAGCATAAATAAGGACCTAAAAAATAAAATCAATCTACAGTTTACTAATTTCCCTTTTCAATTCCCTTTCAGACAAATTCCCTGCTCAAACACTTTGTTGCATTTTGACTATAGTGAGGAAAAAAATGAAGAATACCTTTCGCGAAAACATCGTTTATCTGCAACTTAGTAATACCACTTGCAGCAGCACTGGTGAGTGATAACGTTATCGCCAGTGATAGTGGTGACAGCACTGCATTAAGTTCTTCATCAGCGGCATTTGATAAAAGTCGAAGTGAGAAATTTGCATGTATTGACTGTATCGTATCCCTTGCATACCTGATATATATAATATATATATATATTGTACATTTCATTTAATTAAGAAGATTAAAGATCGTCTACGGATGATTCTTGCTTATAATTATAACTATACTAAATGGCTAGGAAGCTTACTTGTCCAAATAGTAATTTAATTCATAAGCTGTTGTCGTAGGCCAAAACAAAGTGCACAGTGCGATAGAAGCGAACAAGATAAAAGAAAGCAGTTGACGTGATAACACATTCTGATAACAATGACTGCGCATAACAAAAGCTAAGGATGATGTCAGTTGCGCTTGTAATGATTATATTCTAAGAAGTGGAAAGTGTTGTGAACAGCGATATCAGTGGAATGAATGAATGCCAATGTGAATATTGCACTTGTACACTCGTAAACAAGTCTCTTCTTCAGATGTGTTTCTCACTTCCACCCAAAAATAAAAAATGGCAGCGTTAGGTTATAGGATTGTGCATTCCACTCCATCGGTGCTAATCTCTTCCTATCCCTGCACTCTAACTTCTCGGCTAATGTTTACAAGACGCTCAATTCTGGTCAAATATTATTATCAAATATTGACCTCAACTGTCCTCTTCACTCTGCTCTCATCGCTTCACATTTAGCTTCGCACTGATTTATAAATTAATAAAATGTCCAGACACTTCGAATTTCTCTCTCTCAGAGCTGCTCTTTCCTCTTTCTTATCTTGCGGCATTCCTCCTCGACATCCTTCTTCTTCGTATATTCCTCTCACAATTAAAACTACTTACGTACAGTATATGTCGACGTTGTCATTTTGCTAGTTCTTTAGCTCTCTACCTCAATTTGTTTGTAAAAATCTACATGAAACCATTAAGGCTAAAAGTACACATTTCAAATTTACAATTTTAGAATGTCTGACGTAAGACAAAAAATACTTTCTTCGAAATAATTAATATTAATATTAGTAATAATAATAATAATAACGGTAATAATAATAATAAAATGTTAACTTTACTCAAGTACTTTAGTTGGCCTTATCATTTCCATGAATCCAAATTTCTTGCATTCCTATATTTCAAATTTAAATGACAGACTAATTGATTATAAATACTGCATATACCATCTGAGATTGATTCATCATTCAGCATAATCCATAATTCGTCAAGCATCAATTTTCTTTGAGCAGAAATATCTTTCAAGCTTTCATGTCTCACAGCAATTTCATTAGGTCGTTCCAAATGATAGAATGCAAGTGCACCACCAATGGCATACAACAATGACAAAATAATGAGACCGATGTGAGGCAAAATTATTCGCGCATATTTTTTCCAACCAGCCATCTGAATTTGAATTTAATCCAATCTCTTACAGTGATATTAGCTTTTTGAATATTTCGCAAAGTTCGGAAATAAGAATGAACTGATAAAGTGTCCAACATAGCTTGTTATTCATAGTGACACATGTTTTTGATGTTACTAAGCTTAATAGAAGGTTTACTCTGGAGTATTTCTTGCCAGTATCTGTACTCCAGACGATGAACCATTTGGTAGACTCTTTTACAACCACATTTGATTGCATTTTCACACATCTAAGATCCAAAAGTAGCAAAATATTGCATCGCAAGTATTCCTAGCGAGCATAGGTTAATTAATTTATGCAAAAAAAAAAATTACTTTTCAAAGACCGCTTGTAATTAGAGATAAAAATATGAAAACAATCTACAGATAAAACTTTTTCTGTGTGGGAAAAGAATGCGATATCAGTAGTGAATACCAGTAAAGAAGACAAGATTCGATTTTCTTTCTAGACTGCTCCATTGGTTCAATTTTGAAAATATTTCTCTTCAATATTTATTTTCATCTATGACTGCAAGCATTTTATTATAAAATATCAATCATTTTACATTTGGAAGAGCAAAACAGACTAATAAAAGCCTTAGGAAATATCCTAATATGACACAATGCTGCTGCCATAATATAATGTGATGGTGTTTGAAGTTTTGAGAAGTATCAAGTGGCAAATTTTGATAATTATCTCAGCATAGTGCAAGTAAAGAGAAGAAGAATAAGAATCGTTGTTAGGAGAGTAAAAAAGGAAGAGAGTGAGTGTATGTTGTGGAGCATCAAGGGATGATCTATTTACTAGAAATGGTAGTACATAACAAGATGTGAAAGGAACAGTGAAACCATTGATTGAGGCCTATCTCGCATGCATTCCCGAAGTCACCAACCGAATACTACTACTCCCTTTTCAATCACAGGGCCAGGGCGGCTTTTTCAGCAGTGCTATGAATCTATCTATCTCATCAATGATTAACAAGTGCGCCTCCTCGCATTACATTCTCCACAATTTTAATTCGTCCCTATTATTGATCAGGATGAAGTAATTTATGAAAATAATCGCACAAAACGTCTTGAATAGTTCACAAGAAGGTTAAGTTTTAACATTGAGGGTGACGACAGTATGACCAATGCTATACAATTTACGATCATGGAAGTTTATGGAAGATAAGACTTTTAATGAAATCTTTTAGCTGATTTATCAGACACAGATATCTAATAATCTCATTTGTCAAAAGGTATTTTTGGAAAAATAAAGGAAAAATAAATTAGAAGAAAGTTGAAGTGCAGGAATATTATAAGATGAAAAAACTAAAGTTAAATTAATAGGCAATGAAGAGAAGAAAAAGGAGGATATATCTATTAATAATAGTCCAGCTGCAAAGCTTTCACTTGAGCTTTACGAAAATAGCAATGAATAATGAATAAGTTTATACAAACATCAGCCATCACTTGAGGAAAACCGTATTGCAAATGAAATTACCGAGATGAACAAAAATTTCCGGTAATATTCGAAAACACATTTATTTTAAAAACTCTTTTCGCTTTCATAGAAATCTATCCGGAAAGGTGAATTAAAACAGGCCAGATGAAACAAACAAATATGAACTATGCTATAATCAATTAAAAATACTCAATAATGCCGGAAGGGTTCCAACTCTTTTTCATATGTCAAATCTATTAATGGAATGTTTTACCAACAAAAACTTCGTCAATTAGAAAATCAGAATCAGAAGAAGAAGAAGAAAAACGAAAGAAGACGGCTAACAAACTGATACATTGTTTGAGAAAAATGCAATGAAATAGATCTTCGGGGATAGGTTTGGGGAATTTCATGTGTTTCTTGACAACAAATTCAGAATCACTTTGCTTCTGTCCACAGATAAGAAATCATTTCGTTTCGATGTACACAAAAGGGATGGTAATCTGATGAAACAAACAAATCAAACAAATAAATCCATGTAAATAAACCTTTGCTTATCAAGAGAATCCTTACAAACCTTATTGATGCCATCTAAATGATCAATTTCCCATTGATCGCTTTTTCGCTACTGTCATCATCATCATCATCATCATCATCATCATGTAAATTTGGCAATTCCTGTAGCAGTAATGTTGTTGTAACGGATTTCTTTTTCACTTCCATCTGTCCCTGCAAACTTACTTACTTATTGATTATTCACACAGACAACTAACTTATTGTATTATCGACGAACAAAGAATTCATTTTACAAATATCATCACTGTGGTTTGCCTGATTTCATCTCTTCAGCTTTATCCCTCCTAATTTATGCTAATCAATCAACCATGTTGTAGCCAATGGAATGTCAATTACACTGACACATTACCAAAAGTTTGTCTCAACGATGCAAACATATCTAAAAGGCTTCTAGATCTTTGTCATTACTTATAAGGGATCCACATAGAGTGGTAGGATGTGTCGAAGAGGACTAAGAATGTTGAAACTATAACACTTGCAATCATCTAGTCTACAAAGCAAACCATAGTGCTTATTAAATGCTGAGAGGAAAATTTTTAGTTACGGACTTGCCATATTTTGAAATAATTAATCGTTAATTTTTAATGTGCCGAATGCATAGTTTCATAAATTAACAAAAAACAAATATGAGAGAAAAAAAAAAGTCTTATATGCTAACTTGAGAAATTGATAGCATTTTCGCAGGTTTTGAGAAATAAAATAGGAAGACTAAGTTAGAGAGTAGAGTAGAATAATGAGAGCAATATGGAGCATAATGCTTCTTAATACAAACTAATACTGCAGATATCGGATTTTCAATTTTCTTCAAATTTCTCTTCTCAATTTTACTTATCACACACACAATTCAATTTCTTCCAAAGAGCTATTTTTAATTTATTTTGGCTTTGGTCTTATCTGTGCTACTTTTCTGCTATTTTTATATTCTATTCTTGTTTCTCCGTTTCAGCTTCTTCAAAATTGTAATCAACAATTTTCAATCAAATATTCTAGTAATTTATCATTGCTTCTACATATTAAATATTAAAATGACAATAGGAGAAATCGTAACTGCAATGAATAGATTTGAGCGGTTGTTTGTAGCGCTCCTGTTATTGCCCAATATTGTAAAAGGTGACGCTGATTGAATTTATATTTTAAAAGCGCTTCTCGAGAAGAGATAATCATCATCTGAGTTTGATAAATTCATTTAGAAATACATATGAATTTCGTTTCTTTTCACTCAATAATACTCATTGAAAGAGTTGCATAAGAAACGATGGATTGTTTTGGGAAACTGACTGGAAGAATGACTCTAACACAAGTATTTTGAAGAAAAGTTAAATAGTTGCAACAATCAAATTGGATTAATCAGAAACGCAAAGATTACTTCACTTCAATTTTAGGAGTCATTTCGATAGTGTTTTCTACCTTTCATTCAGCTTATATTTAATTAAATTACATGACAGGCCGCTTAAACTTATTTGATAGCTTCAGTGTTACATTCTGGTTCAACCACAAAGATAATATCTGCGACAACAAAATCAATGCGTATATCATCATCTGAGGATGAAACTCAAAATACGAACCGAAACAGAGGTGCAATTTAATGATAAATTCAATTCTTGTTATTTTATATTTGAGTTGAAGAAGTGATACTTCGTTCTGGTTGCTAACTTAATGATATAATTAATGTAAATAGAAAAATTATTAAAAATTTTACAATAATTTTTAAACTTTTCTAATAATTACAAAAAAAGTTATCATTTTGGAAGTTGCAAAGCAATTGATAATGGATTCAGGAAGTAGGAAGAAGAGGCACATCCACTTTCAACATTCCTTCTAAACCATCCAAACAGGTTCTCTCTGTTTCCGTGAACTAAATCGTATTTAGGTATGTATATCCGCTGTGCATCATCTTTTGAGCATTCCATATCCCACTATCATATCTTTATGCACATCCTCTTTCTCAAAATTTATCAAAAATTTCAATGCTTTTTATAATTATAATAAACATAATAAAATAAAAACACATACATAATATCCTAGATTGAGTTTAAACAATGAGCAGCAGCACATCAACACCAATTTTTACCCTTATTAAAAGAGAGTAACATAAAATCCTCAAGACCAGTTCTTTCTTTCGTTTTTTTTTACACGTAATTAGATTTTTATATCCAATTGTTTTTATGTTGTTTCGATCGTTTACAACATCGATATCAAACAATAATCCCAACTTAGGTTTTAAAGTTTATTAAAGACAGTAACAGTTGATAATGCGACATTAATTGTCCACATAAAGATTGCTTTTTTTTATTTTTCTTGTCCCTGAAGAAGACTGTAAATGAAGGAAATTTATTGAGATGAATCAACTTTAGCATTGTTTTATCAAATGATCTTCGTTGGATTTTTTTCAAGCCAAAATAACGTAATTACTTCTAATCAGTGATGCAAATCAGTTACATCAAACCTGTTTCAATTTAGTTATTAGTGTTGTTATCTTGCTTGAGTAAAATCTCATTTCAAATAATCTACTCCAATGCTTTTTTTTTCCTATAATTCATTAATCTTTTCTACTTCAAAAATGGCCAAGCTGCAAGTGCCTTTTATGTTCATAACCCTATATTGCTAGAAGCATTCCATTATTTATTTGCAGCAACACAGCTTTGGTTCTTGCTAACGTCGTTGGTAGCATCGTTATACGTAACTGCCGTTCTTTTATTTACTTGTTGTTGTAGTCGAATTGCTACTACACGATTGTTTGCATCATATTGTCTAGCAAACATTATCATACAACAATGTTTAAATCATTATTGATATGGCAAGTGAAATATATGTACATTGTGAAAATTGAATTGATTCAAATAAATAATAAATATTTCAACGAAAAAAAAATTTCAATTTCTAGAATCATCCATAACTATGCATGTAGAAGATATTATTGATGAGTTAAAAGATGGAAAAAAGCTAAGAATTAAGAGGAAGATAGCAGTTTTTATACATTTCTATCAAATTAATTGGCATTCTATAATGTTCGTGAGATTACCATTAATACTGATAATTAATTAGCTTCTGCTCAGAGCCACTACATATCCAAATGTGGAAAGGAATATTAGAGAAGCTTTTTGGAATCTATTTCTTAACAATTTGTGTCTACTGATAGCAGATTGTAGTAGATTAATATTTTCAGGATCCTGTGTGTTTCATCAGTCAGTATAACAGTAGCAAGCGAATCAGTTAGATTTGCTTCAAAATTTCTTCAGCAAGGTTGAATTTTTCACTCAACATAATATCGTTACAGTAAACAAATACTAAAATAATGACCACATTGCAACTTCTTACATCTACTATTTGCCTGTTTAATGTATTAATATTAGCTGATGCAGTGATATTTCGGGAGTTCCATTATCTGGATGCGCTCAACATTTCTCACAGTTGTGTGAGTGTGAGAAGACATGAATATAGAGGATTAATGGAAAATAATAAGTAAAATCAATATTCGAATACAGGTGATCCGGAACCTTCATCAGATTATATCACTCGGATTTATTCGATGCGATTTTGTCCATATTGTGACAGAGCTATCATCGCTGCATACAAAAAAGGCATCCAGTTAGTCTCTTGAAATTTAAAAGTATGAAATGAATTTATTAATATTATTTGCAAACTAAAATTCACAAACCATTATTAAAATTTGTTTCAGATTTGAAGTTCTGAATATTAATCTTCAAAATAAACCCGACTGGTTCCTTTCAAAGCATCCTGAAGGGACTGTACCGCTTCTAGAACATGATGGCAAGGTTCCTTATGTAATTGAATATTTATATTTATTAAAAATAATACTAAAAACCTACTCACTTCATTTCTAGATTATTCCACTTTTTGACTAACAAATGATGTTATTAATGTATTTGTAGAGTATAATTCATTATTTTTTTTTAGCCATACTCTTGGAAGCTATGCGAAAAGCATATTGTGATCAGAGTTAAATGGGACTTATTGGCTACTTTTTATAAAAGTTATAACTATGAAATTGCAGCTAGTACCCGACTCCCGAGTGATTATAGAATATTTGGATGATGCATTTCCGGAAACAAGCATTTTGCCTAGAGAACCATATCTTCGAGCAAAGCAACGATATGATGCAAATAAACTAGACTCGGTACATTAACTAATTTCTACAACCACGCACCCGCCGATACTCTTTATGATAGATAATATTTATTACAGGTTTGCAGTACAATACAAAAAGTGTCATATTTGACACGGCTATCTGGCAATATCACAACTCTTGCAACGGAACTTGCCGTGGCTGAGAAATTGCTAGAAACTTCTTTTTATTCAGGTTCCGTTCTTCCCTGGTTCCTTACTTTTTTCATCCATTTACTTTTGTCCTTTTCTTATGAGCCTTCCTAAATACTTTGGTTTAAAGTTTCACTTCATCTCTCCTTCGTTCACTTATTTATGATTTAAATTGACTTTTAATGTAGGCACAACACCTGGCTTACCAGACATTGTCTTGTATCCGTTCATTCACCGATTGCATGTCATCCGACAATTCGTTAGAGACAGTTTCCTTGATGATTATTTCCCGAATCACTTTCCAAAACTTGTAAAATGGTTCATTAAAATGCGAACTATGCCAGAGGTAACCGTTAATTAAAACTATAGGATGAACTAACAATTTAAAAGAACTGTAAATTTTGGAGTGATAGGATGCACAGGATAATAAAGTATCTTGTAAGCTTTAGCTTGTTAACATCACAATTTTTTGAACATTTCAAAAATGGAATTTGGTAAAGACGTAATTATCTTTCATTGCAGACCGAAGTAGTTCGAGAACCAGAACACCACTTGAAGGCATTCCTGATCAGCAAAGCAAAACAAAATGCTACTGATTTCGATATCCATCTCCCTGGTTCTAACATACCAATTAATCGGAAATTTCTCAACGATTCAACCGTTCAATGGCACAACAATTAAATCTAAACATTAAATGCAGAAAACCAAAACAAAAAGTAACTAGTGTAAAGAGTATTATTGCGGACGGAGAAGCTAATTATTTCTATCTCCATCTTCTCTTTTTCATTTTTTTAATATGCGAAATACTTGGTGCATCCATTGAACACTTATTTATATCAGGAACTGAAATCATAAATAATAAAAGTATGACAACAAGATTGCCATTAAAACTTTTAATGTATGATCAGTAGCTAAAATCGAATTCCATATCTGTATATATTTTGCCTTTGTCCACAAAGAAGCGTACTTGATACGAGATTTTAATCAGCGCTGGAGTTAGTGAAGTGCCAAACTTGAAAGCAAAATAAGTATTGGAAAATATTCTACTCCTTACTTTCTCAGGAATGAAGATTAAAACAAATAGCTAAAGAAGTACCATGATCGTATAATCCAAAAGATTGAAATTTGAAAATTTTCATTGTAAATACAAGCAAGTAATGAATATATTAAAATAGGTTATGAAGGAAGGGAAGAATACAAAAAGTGCACTCAACCTCCCCATTCCTGTAAAAGATGTTTTTCAATTTAGCAGCAAATAAAATCATTTTACAAAACAACTTTTTTCTTTCTTGAAGAGATGGTCATCATTATCACTATCATCGTTATCCTAACTGTTCGAATGAGATGAATATTTACTCTTCGAATTTCTTAGAATTTCTCTTATTTTTGAATTATAGCCAGTCTCATCATCGACTATTTTTTGATCTGAAAATAAATGACATTTACTATTCATGAACTTGAAAACGTACTTAATAAACGTTACTCAAGACTAGTTTTGGCTAACATCTTTTATCAAGAAATTCAGTAGCCTACCTTCCAAACTCATCCTATCCAAAAATTTTCGTTTTCAATCGCTTTAAAAACGTCTCATTGTTATACCTCTCTTCTTCTCCGTTTTGACTTCTCTTTTCTTCATCATTATCATCCACTACTGTCGCCCCATTTCCACCTTTTTTCCTTTCAATGTCTAAAAGAAGAGAAGTCAAAACGGAGAGGTAATTTTTCATTACTTAAAAAATACGGCTTCGCCATCCATAATCAATTAAGCAGGGAAGGATTAATCATTTGGTGGCTTGTCACAGCAGATTTAAAAAATCGAATAATTAAACACAGTTATAAGAAATTAAATGACACACAGTTACCTCATTAAAAAAAATGGTAGGGAGAGCTTACCTTCAATAGTACTGCTTACTCCTTGTATCGTACCTGGAGTGTCAGTTTCCAGCTCAGCCCAAGCTTGTATCAGTGCTTTTTGTTTGTCTGTTAAAAGCCTGAAAAAAAATTTTTTTGAGTGAAATCTCAATAAATAATCCATCGATTTCTTATAAATTACTGCGAAGCTTACCTGCGAAAGCTCAATACAAATCTCGTCAGATATTTAAGCAACTCACTACCAACTGTTTTTAATCATTTCATTTATAACTACCTTAAAAATAAACAATGATTTCAAGATATTGCTAATGTTTTGTAAAACTAAACAATCACTTACTTTGGTACTTTCACCTTGATATTTATATACTGGTCTCCATATCCTGCATAATTCAACTTTTTTATTCCTTTACCCGTTAAACGCATTTTTGTATGTGATGCAGTTCCCGATGGTATTTGTATATATGTGTCTTCCTTTATCCCAGGTACCTATACAATTTAACCATGATAAAATACAGTACGTATATATATATATATATATATACCAAAAGTAGTTAAACAAAACTCGGTGACAATCGAAAATGGCTGAATCTGAATATCTCAATCCAGCCCCAGTACGAATGCAGGATTCAACAAGTAAAAGCACACTAAGGAAAGCGTCGAAATTAAACTTGT